ATGAGCTGGGGCCACAAGGCCGGCTGCTCACTGCTGGACGACAAGTGCTTGACAGACGGCGTCACCTCGCACCCGGATATGTTCTGCAGTGAGAAATCAAGTACTCTACTGTGCACCTCTGACCGCCGCGCGTTGGGGCACTGTCCGATTGTGGAGTACGTGGGCCCGCTTCCCCGCAACTATCAGTACTTCAAGAAAGATAATATAGGCGGAAAACGTGCCACACTAATGGACATCTGCCCTATCATCGAACCCTACGTGGATAGCAGTTGCATTACTGGAAGAGCTTCCAGTATGCCTGGAAGTATTGTTGGCCCAAGCTCAGCGTGTTTGAAGAGCGTGGCGCTGCGGTGGGACAGCGAGCCCGTCGGCGATGTGTGCGCGGAGGTGTTGTGTGGTGAGCGCACGGTACACGTGCGGTACCTTGGAAACGACACGTGGCACTTGTGCCCGGAAGGTGCACACATCACTCCAGGAAGGCCGTTTACGCACGGCCGCATTCTCTGCCCGCGACGTTTGGACGTGTGCGCTGCGTCACATATCAGTGAACGCGACTTGCACGAGCGGGAGATGGTTCGTCTGCGAGGGACGAGCTAAATGGAGAGTGAACATCCGATGGACTGGCGACGTCACCGCCTGCAACGAACCGCCATGCTGGCAGCCTGGGACGTATTGGTGCAAGGTGACCGCGAGTTAAGGGTTTAATAGGCCCGAATCTGCGCTGTGTTTAACAAAACGATATTTGTGGTGGCAATATCAGCCGATGTACAGTTTTCTTTTTTTTTTTTCAATGATGCTGCTGTTTGCACGGCCACCAAGCACAACATGATGCGGTAGATGCCTTTTGTTTGTTTCATCGCTCTCCTGGATCTGCGGATTCCGCCAGAGAGCAAGTCTTTGCGAGAACAGAGCAGCACGCAAATAGATGACCCCTATTCGTTGTGCACGCTCATTTTTTTAATTGACTAAATTATTAATATACTTTTGCGCATGAATATATATATATATGCCTTCACTTCCCTTCAGTAGGACGTGCTCTTTCACGGCATGGGGCTGTCAACTGTGATAGACACAGATGCTTCACACAAGTTGTTTGTGACAGCGCCATGGTATTGAGGCCAACGTTACAGCATACTCCTGCATCTTTTACGTGCCATAGCCACAGCATCTGCATACATGCGTGTTAGCACACCTCCGGCGTGTTGCCAAGGTGCCTCCGACAATCTGCAGCGTCGTTGGGCGCATCATGAGCTCTCCTCCCGGTGAAATATGGTCTGCAAGACAACGGACAAAGTGCAACCATTTAACATTGCTTTACGTGCTGCTCCTTGGCTGTGATATCTGTCTGGTGCTTCCCG